ATATAATTGTCCATCCAAGAGGCTGTAGCGAGCCGCCTTGGTGCGTAATGTCCGGGACGCCTTCGAGTCTTCGGGCAGCTTACCATGCTGAAGGTAATCAATGACTCATTCCTCCGGGCATAGACCAGGTTGGTAGTATTTACTTCACAATAGCCATCCACATCTAACACCGAATGCATAAGTTGAATGATAATACTGGAGTCAGATCCTTTTATCTCCGTGGATGATCCCAAATTGGCCAATGCATCTGCTTTTACGTTCTCTTCTCCCGGGATGTGTATTATTGACCACTCCTTGAATCGTGCATGAAATGTTTGTACTTTAATCACATATTGTTGCATGTGTTCCTCCTTTGTGTAAAAATTCCCATATACTTGGTGTATTACCAGCTGGGAATCACATTTTATCTCTATGACCTCGGAGCCAAGTCCTCGAGCTAATTCGAGTCCTGCAATTAAAGCCTTATACTCGGCTTCATTGTTAGTTAACAGAACAATGTTTATGGCTTGCCTTAGGGTTTCCCTCGAAGGAGTTGTTTAACCAAAAAAATAGTTTTCAAGGTCAAAGAATTAATTTTATATGACGGGCCACAAGCAACCGATTCAATCCGAAAGATATAAATTTTTGTTAATACAACTTGATAGAAAAGTGAAAAATAAATTCAATGACAGATAATATAATAAAAATAAAACAGAGAAGAAATAATTCTTATTGGATGATCCTTTATGGGATGATGAGCCGAACAGAGCTTGAAGAGCCGAACTATGGCTAACTTGGGAGCAAGATGCTATGAATTACAATGTATAGAATTGTAGAGAAAAAAATTAGATGACCACAATGGTGGTAAAATATGTCTATTTATAGGGCTAAATCTAAGTAACCATTCTACTTGAATTATGGGTCCATTAGGAGTATTTACTTAATCCATCTATTATTTTTAGAAGACTTGTAACAACTGAGTAAATGCTGGAATTCCGTAACTGATGAGTTAATTCCGTAACTGATGAGTCAATCCCGTACTTGTTGAGTCAATCTCGTGCGCATTGAGTCAATCTCGTGCCTGTTGAGTCAATTTTATAATTGATTGCCTTGTTCTGCCAGTTGCAATCATTTATTGCATTTATTGCACGCTAGATAATTGATGTGTAACTTATGGCGTAATAATGGTAAATACCATATAATCCGATATTAATTGATTTTCTACTCAGTGGTAATTATGAGCTATTCTCTCGTGCCTGATCTGGGACTATTCTATGATGATCAGTTCCGAGACTAACATACACAGTACGAGTATGCTCGGTCCCGAGGGTATTTCACATGTCATCTTTATATGTTATTCTTCACTTTTCTCATAACTTTGCTGACATGTGTCGCTATTTAATAGACCCACGCGGTGAGTCTATTTTCCAATAATACAAATTGTCCCCTCATTTTTGTTAAAGAGCAGATGTCGGTTCATGTAATTTCTATTTGCCAAGCTTCTTCCCTTTACTAATGGAAATCGACACTGAATTCATTTCTCTTACTGTCGGTTGATCACCTCTTATCTGTTTGATTCCCTCTAGGGTCATAAATTTCAACATTTGGTGGTATGTTAATAGTACGGCCTGCATCTCATGTAACCACGATCTATCGAGAATTACGTTGTAGCCCATGTCACCATCCACCACTTCAAATAAGGTGGTCTTCGTAACCCATTCGATGTTCGTGGGTAACATGATCTCCCCTCTAGTTATCACCCTTGCCTGGTTGAACTCGACGATGAGCTTTGTTGACGGAATGATACTTCCAATTAATTTGGCTTGTTCCAGCACTCTACATTGAATGATGTTGGCTGAGCTTTCTGGGTCAACCAAAACACGTTTAATTTTAAAATTTAAAATATTAAGAGATATTACCAGGGCGTCGTTATTTGGCAGAAGAAGTCCGTCGGCGTCTTCCTTTGTGAAGGTGATCTCTAATTTAGCGAGTTCCCAAAGTTGCTTGTTGTGGGTCACTGATACCCTTGTCTTCTTGGTCGCCGAGAAGGTTACACTATTGATTTCATTCCCTCCGAAAATCATGTTGATAGTCAAGCAATGAGGGTCTTCTCCTGCCTTCGAGGGTTCTGCGACATTTTTCCTTTCCTTGTATTGTATTAAATTGTTCTTAGCTGGTTGTCTTGTCCCGGCCACTTCCTCACGCAGGTGCCAACAGTCCCCAATTCTGTGGCAGTGAGTCTCATGATATACACACCATAAGTTACGATCTCTCTGACCGGGATCAGATCTGATTGGCTTCGAAAACCGAGCCTCTTTGACATTCCTCATAGTCGATACCAGCTCCACTATGCTGATGTTGAAATTATAATTTGATAACTTGGGATAAGTGGAATCTTGGATCCCAAATACCTCTTTGTCTTGTAACGATCTTTTGTTTCGACCGTGATCAGTTCTTCTTTTGGGAGCGAACCTATCCGACGACCGGAGCCCTTTATTGTCGCGCCCGTTGGCTTTCTCGTAAGGCAAAAAGCAACCCATAGAAAATCTCCGATCTATATCAAAATCATCCTTGAACTTGTCCCGGTTCTTGTCTCTCTCCCATCCTTTGATTGATGGTGGGAACCTAGGGTGATCATCTTCTATCCTTATCTTCGATTTACAGTGGTTATGGACATCCGCCCATGTGGTCGCTTGGAACTCGAGCAAGCTTTCCTTCAACTTTCGGGAGGCAGCAGAGCTTCTCGGGTTCAAACCATTTGTGAATGCCTTCGCTGCCCACTCATCTGGTACGGCCAGTAGCTGCATCCTCTCTTTCTGGAACCTAGTAACGAGCTCTCGCAGCAATTCAGACTCTCCCTATGCAATCCTGAATATGTCCGCCTTCCATACTTGGACCTTTCTAACCCCGGCATAGGCCTTTACGAATGAATCTGCGAGCATTTCAAAAGAATCAATTGAATGTTCGGGCATAGGCAAATACCATGTCAAGGCCCCTTTTCGTGAGGGTTTCTCTAAATTTTTTCAGCAGAATCGACTCAATATCATGTTGAGCCAAGTTATTTCCTTTCACCACCATTGTGTAAGTTGTGATGTGCTTCTGAGGATCTGAAGTCCCATCGTACTTTGATACGTCCGCCATTTTCAACCGTTTTGAAATTCCGACGCTGCGCTTGACTTAAATAGTAACTGGGTGTACAATTCTTCGAATCTGGGCCTTTTAAAACTGGTGGTGCCCCCGAAATTTGATCCATTAGGGCGTGAAACTCCTTCGCATTCTGATCCATCCGCTCATTCATCTCCCTCATGAATCTCATGAGTTCGATTTTGAAAGGATCATTACCATTGGTGTTACCGGTTCCCCCGGCTCCGTCGAAGCTGACCTCACCCCTTGGGGTGTTATTATCAACTCTTTGAGCCGCTTGATTTGCACAAGTGCTGGGAGAAACTGGGCCTCTTCCGTTTGCGTTGTTGGAAGCACTTGATAATGCCTAATTTAGTTCTTTCATGACCTGGTCCTGCCGTGAGAGATGGCCCATGGTGGCTTTTTGTTGCTCTCTCAAGATCCTTACCGTTTCCGTAACGTGTTCGTCCCCCACATCATCTGGAGTTGGTTCCCGCACATGTCGGGGATAGTGTCTGCCATGGACCGGAGTCGCCACGTCCCCTTCGTTGCGGGTATCATTGATTGAATTCTCATGTTGAGATGGATTTTCATGCGTCTCAACGTTGTGTGCGATGTTAACATCGTTAGCTGCCATTTTTGGTTTTTGCTAAGAACAAAGAATCAAATGAGTTAGTAATAAATTCAAGGATCAACTCAATTACGCAACTGTCTAAGCCCCACGATGGGCGCCAAACTGTTTACTCGTGAAACGGTACAATTAAATTTGTTACGTGGTTTATAGGTAAGCGAACTGGTTTGATCCAAAATGATAAATAAGTTAGATTAAAAATAAGACTCAACGTTAACACCAAAGAAATTGGCAGGTCCGGCCCGGGGAGCGATGCTTCCGAGGACAGAAATAAGAACAACATAAAACAGAACGCAAATTTATATTATTTAGCTTGAGAATAGAATGTAACATAAGTTTCGCAAAAGATTTTTCTCCTTCACAATGGTTGTTGAAACTACTATTTATAACTATACCTAGAAAACAAGATCATAGGATCAAGCCCCTCTTAAATAACAATAAAGGGGATCATTGATAAGTATGTAACGGTATGCTATGAATATAAATATTTTCCGAAAATGTTTTCCCAAATTACACCCAATGTCACCCATTTTTTCAACCTGGTGCTTGTTTATTTTATTTTTGACTGTCTACTTCATTTGGAAAAAGAACTCTACTTTTATAAATTACTTACAGAGTGATAGCTGCAACATGATCGTCTCATAAGCTAACTTATCGGGAAGTGTTAATCTTAAACTGCTATGAATACTTCACATTTTTGCATAATTAAGTTGTCTTGTTGGGGATTATGGTTAATGTATTTCTCATGTAAAAGTGTTAGTAGAAAAAAAGGTGTATAATGTGAAGAATGTAAACAGTGATAAAGAATGTAATAAAGAGAATACTAAGGGCAAAATTAGGTCGAAAAGGTGTAAACATACAAGGAATATCTCATGGCCAATAGATTCACTAGCCAGAGTTCAGAAAAGGGATTATCTAGGTCTTAGATATGGGTTTATGTTAACTATCCCTAAATCATATATAACAATAAAAATTAGTATTTAAATATATATATGCGTGCACTCGTGTTCAAAAACTCCTATTAGTATAATAATTATTGGTTGCACCTTTACGAGTGAAATCGCCGGTTCAAAATCTATTTTAGATCGTCTTGTTTTTGGCACGGAGTATAGATACATAAGTGAAAATCACTAAAAATTTTAAAAAAATATAATTTTTAACTAATAATTTCGAGTTTATGGTAAGTGTCATATGTAAATTCTGAAACCCACCTTGTTTCTTAAACACCTCTCTAAATTTTCTAGCAAAGTCCTGAGTCCTGACCTTACCAATCCTTATTTATAACCACTTTCTATTCCCCATTTTTTCAAACCTGTCTCCACTTCTCCAATCTTTTTTCTCTCTGCAAACCAAACAAGTAAAATATAAAATGGGCTCTGTACCAAAAAGAAGACGGTTCTGTTTTCTTGACAGAAACGATGGCCTTGCCTCTTTAGCTGAAATGGAAACTGGTTTTTCAGCAAACCATCAGCACAATCACAACCCATTGATTTCTAGGCCTGTTTATTTACAAAGGAGGAGTTTGAAGAATCTTTCTTCCATTACATCTCCAAGATTAGCCAGTGGGAAAAGGTTTTATGAAACTAGATTTGACGAACCACAACCCCATTTCTTGGAAGCTTGTTTTCTTTGCAAAAAAGCACTTGGTGATAACACAGACATATTCATGTACAGGTTAGTTTTGTTGTTCATTCTTTTCAAGTTTCAAATCAAATTCACATATTTGTTACTTTTCTTTTTGGAGAGGAGGGATTACCTAAAATTTATTCAATAATGTGTTCGATTCTTTTCACACATTTCATAAAGTGGATAAATTGTTTGTAGTGAGTGTTAATTAGTAAATTAGTGGCTAAGCTTTTATTACTATTTGGTCATCTAAAAGAATGCAAGTCTTTGATTATTCTTGAATGGTTTGATGCAGAGGAGACACTCCATTCTGTAGTGAAGAGTGCAGGCAAGAACAGATAGAAATGGATGAAGCCAAAGAGAAAAAATTGAATCTTTCAGCTTCTGTAAAGGCCTTGAGAAAAAATGACCAGAGAAAGTCCACTTCTTCCAATGAAACTGCACACGATTACCCTTTACACAGAGGCACTGTTGCTGCAGCTTGAGTTAAAACTTAAAACTACAGATAGCAAAGAATGTAAAAATAATAAAAGGGGTGAAATAATATTGCCAACAATAATATATAGAGTGAGATAGAGAGTGGTTAAGTGAAAACTATTGCCTGAGATGCAAAAGAAGAAAAGTATAGAGATACAACGTATGCATTGATATATGTAGTGGAGAGGGCCCCTGTCCTTTTGCTAGTTATGCTTTGTAATAAAAGTGATGGCTACACTTTTGGTGGTTCCCTCGGCTGTTTTCATCTTTTGAAACTGATATGGATTAAAGTTGTGAGAAGAGAATCTAAAATATAAAAAAGATGATGATATAAATATGACTCAGTCATCTCACGACCTAAAATATATATTTTTTGAACTCCTTGAATTTCACATATGCATAATATAGTTTCTTGACAATGGAAATTCAATCAATCATCCTTTGGACCAATTACCGGCCACTTCCCCGTACTTACTATTATATGACATTATGAATTAATGACACATGACCAAATTTACCCAAGGCGCAAAGGGAAATGCCTCAGAATTGGAGAAAGGAAAAAGGGAATATGAGTAATAGTTATCACATTTTTTGTGGACTTGAGAGTTGGGAAGACTGAGCTGTATGAATGCATGGATTAGTAATAATTACATGAGTGATGATGATAATATTGTAATTGTAAAAAAAAGTTATTTACATACTGATACTTTACGGACGATATATTCTAATACCCCTGATCATGTTTGAAGTGAATTTAATATCACCCAATGAAACATAAAACTACTTTGACATACACAAATATATACTGTACATACATATCTTGGAGTAGGAGTGTATACTTTCAATCAGATCACACTAAAGAATGATGGGACAAATTTGTGAAAGCAAACTCAACCATTTAGGCAGGTTCTTATTGTACGTATATGTCACATCTCTTTTTACAAATTTTTGTGGGGTTTGATTTGTTACTGTTACGTGCTTATGGTTATGTGAATGAGCTGTATATCTTACTTGCCCCGTTAATTCCAGCTGTATAGCAACTCAACCATTACTATTTTTACCCACAAAAAGCCAATGTGTGGAACCTTTCTTTTACGTGTACTTGAAACTTTTACTTTGGACTGATGAGTTGAGAAGAATAAGATGGTTAAAGATAGCTGATGTGGTCATATCCGTCTTTTACCAAGATCTATATATATATATATGCTCTGTTATATTTCCACTAGCCACTAATAATTAAGCTGAAGTATAGTAGGGTTACAGAATATCTTGAACTCCTTGGTGAATAACAAATGATCATACTCCAAAATCATAAAATAAAGTTCAATATAAATCATTGGGCAGAAGTTGGATGCCGTGGTGTGCTTAAGGCAAATAAAAGTGGATACATTGTTAATCTACTACAAATATGTATAGTAAATTAGCAAAATCTTTAATCAGTATTCTCTATTTCTAGTTTCTGAAGTAGGAAGCTTTTGAGTAAAATGTATATTATAATTTTGTTTGCGTAATGATCAAACGAATGACCTTCTGATTGGAAACTAGAAGTTTGTGTTAAAATTGGGTCGTGAAAACAAAAATTTTGTTAGAGTAAATCACTTGTTCAAAATGTTTGTAGAAAGAGTTTTGGCATTTATAAATTACAGGAATTACATCCAATAACCTTGAAAATAGATGGTCTTGATATTTTGACTCTCGTTTGCCTCATAGGCAAATCATTAAGGTCAAAATTCAAAAGTGTTGCCTATGGGGCAAGCTATGGGCAATACTTGTTAAACTTGAAGTTCTACCTATTGATCAAGCGGGTCAAAAATTAAAAGTGGCACCCAAAGTGTCCTATTTGTGCAAATCACCGTATAAATTTTGATTCCACAGTCAAAAATCATAATTTTCAGAAGAAAGGATAAACAAATAACTAAAATTGCATGGAGGCCCAAAACGATTTGGGTCAGCCTGAACATCACCCAAATGGGCCAATCCCTACCCGATCCAAAATTGTCTAGAGAAACTGATTGGTTCCAGTTTTCCGAAACATCTCGTTTGGATGGTTGTTATTTATTATATTGTATTGTATTGTTACTTTAAATAAAATGTTTGTTTTGATTGTTACTTAAAATTTATTGTATCGTATCGTTAATCCGTCGTTATGTAACGACAAAAAGTGTCACTTTATAAAACGATTGATTTGGTGTGGTTGCGTCGTTTCCTTTTTTTTCCCCCTCATCTTGCCCTTCCTTATTATTAAATAATTCTATTTTATTTTTTTAACTACCTTTTTATATAATAGTTCTACTTTGTATCTTACTTTTTTTTAATAATATTTCAAGCTTATTTTTCATATTGTTGGTGCATGATATCATGAAACAACGACAATCAATACAATCTATCCAAACATTATATACATCAAAACAATACAGTGCAATATAATACAATACAACACTATACGATACATTATGAAATGATACATAACGACCATCCAAACAAGATGGAAGGTGTAAAATAAGAGACGGCTAGGGTTTCTTCTGTCATCGCTTTTAATCAACGACTGCTCCCTCTAACAAGTTCGGGTACCTCCATAAACAGCCAATATCGTACGGTATTTTCCCTTTATTATGCATCATTTTTGTGATTGGATACTTATGCAAGGAGAGTAAGATGTGCATGGCATTAATTCTTTTGCATTAATTGTTGCCATTTCTTCTCAATTAGTACATCCAAATGAGGCAGCCGGGTTGATGGCTTGGGTTGGAAGCTAGGTCAAATAATATTGCAGTTTAGAAACTATCTTATGAATTGAAATATTGACATAGAGGTTATCCACTCTGTAGTTTATATGGATTTCGTTTGTAACAATTGGACAGAAGAACTAGATTTTGACCTAATTGTGCCAGTGTAGGTGCGCTGCGCTGTACATGCAACTCATTGCTAATTAGAGTTTAAGTTATATACACCATTAAACAATATGAGGCCGAAGAATGTATTGAGATATTATAAACAATAACATGTGCAAGATATCGATTCTTTTGCATTGAGATGATGCGATAATGATGATGACTATGATGATGAGAATGTCAGGATCATAGGATGAGATGGCGATAATACTAATATTGTATTAAATTTGTTATTTATCCAAAAGATATAGATGCCTCTCCAAAGCAATATAGTACAAATAAAGAAAGACTAGAGGAGAAGTAGGAGAAAAAGAATAGAGATAAAGCAAATTCATATTATGACTTCTCTTGGCATCTTTGAAAAAGATAAGCTTGCTAGTTTTGTTTGCATCCAGAAGGATGCCTCCCAAAGCTATATGGTACAACCATGTGTGCCTCTCAACTCTCATGGAGCATATTCTCCTTTTTTAAAATAATTTTTTCTCTAACATATTTGTTGGGATGTTTCCTTATTTTCAGCAATTGGATATAAAGTAATAGTATCAAAATTAAGGTAGGTTCTGTGTGCTTTTTTTTTTTTTTTGAATGGATGAATTCAGTCTTTGTCTCTAGTATATATTTACAAAAAGAGTTCAAATGTGTTTTAGTATTGACTTCCAAGTTGTTAGTTATGGTAATTTACTAAGAGGTTTATTATTATCTTTGCCTTCCGAAAATCTTTATTCGTCCTTGAATGTAGAGAATGTGTTGCCAACGGATCTAGAATCACTGAAAAATCTTCCTTATCATGGCACAAGCGCTTAAGTAGGCCATAATTTTACTGAAATGATTAAAAGATTGATCAATAATGGTGAGATTTTACCTCCTTTAGATTTTGATGATTTGTGAATATGCATAGATTGCATAAAAAGAAAATACTGGTAGACATGTTTTGTATGAAACAAAATTCTTTTTGTACAAAATGTTTTACCGAAAAATATTTCCCAAGGGAAGTGTTTTTAATACCCTATTGATGAAGTGAAAAACAATACTTTTCCAAAGAATATTTATAAATTTAATGGCACTAGCTGCAAATTAGATTGTTTTGATGGTAAAACTTTTTGAGTATAAAGATTGACAATAACGTCTATGTGATGGACGTTGAGCAATTGAAAAGTGGCTTTCACCCATGAGTGAGGAAGTTATTTTTTTCCTTTTGGTTAAAAATATTTTACTTCAGTAAACCAAACACAAGAAAATATTATCTTCCTGAGAAATATATTTGGACATACGAAATATACTTAGAAAAAAAATGGCTGCAACTATAAGTTCAAGTCGTCGTTTGCAGATATTCATAAAGACATTAGTAGACTTTAATTAGTTTCTCCTTCGTGGTAATATGTTTCATCATTTTTATTGATGACTCTTCCCAATTCGGTTATTTTTACACGATTAATAGAGAAATTCGAGAACTTGAGAAATTCTAATTATATTCTTAAGACTAAACTAGAGCAATAATTAGTAAAAGTCAGCAAGATAATGCGATTTGGCCGCACATTTAGCACTAAAAAAACCGTCTCTCATATAGCTTTCTTTTTCAAGAGCAGCATTCTTTTGTTACCCTTTAATTAAGTAGAGGAAAAATGGCTTTCTAAGAAGGGCTTCGGACCAGAACAACACAACAAAATTATGAAATTAAGAAGAATGAACAAGTTGAAGTATCAGAGAAAGAAATTACTAACTTGTTACTTGTGTTTGGCACTACTGATTACTACCATAGATATGTTGTCACTCACACATATAGGACCTTTTACCTAATACTTCCAAAGTTGTGGGATGTTAACAATACACCATACCTTGACGTTGCTTTTTTGAGACAGTCAAACCCAAAAATTCTTAGTTGCTTTTTCATTGGATATCTAGATCCAAAATGGATAAATGCTCTTTTGCCCTGGTCAAGATACTAGAATTATGGAGTCTATACATGCAAAGTTTATTAAACTTGATATGGCAAGCATACTTATTGTACAATACAAAAGTCTATGATTGATTTGCATGGTAGCGTGAGACTGTTTCTTGGTTATTGCATGTTCTTGATTGTAGCATATATCTTAGCAAGAACTCGTATGTTTTTATTTTTATTTTTAATAGAACCATCTAGCTTCTAAAATCAGATGTCTGAGTGGAAATATCATAGATCACAAATAAAATATTGACATAGGAGGGGGACTAAGCCAAACCTCCCAAGTCCTAGTCGAAATTGTACAACCTTAATCTTTTACCATACATATGATACTAATAGCAAGTTCCATTCCCAAATGATATATTTTTTAATTACATAATTAAAAATATCGACTAATTTCGGTCGATTTTTCCAGCA